AGAAGAGGGGGTCGCAGTGCGGAGATGTGGGCACGTTTTGGTTTTGCTTTCTCAGTGGAATGAGGTTTGCAGCAAGCAGGGGAGTGAGGATGGGCAGGAGGGAATGGAGGACAAGATGGAGAGACGTAAACAGACCCAAGACAGGCCGGCAGCACTGCAGAACTTAACTGACTACACAGGATGACGTTTCCGGTTGGTGACTGGAGGGATGGTGTGAGTGCCTTCTATTCAGGACCCGGTGGCAGGGAGCAGGTTTGGGAGAGGAAAGGGATTTTGTCATGGAAGATCCTGTTTACTGGACAAGCAAGTGGACATGACAATCTGAAGCTGCTAGGCTCCAGCTCCCCGGCTCAGCAGGTGTCACACAGCCGGCAGGGGAAGGGAGGCTGGTGGCTACCCGCTCTGAGAAGTTGGTGGTTTGAAACCATCACGTTTGAAGCTGATTCTGGGAAAGACTGGGAATGCTGACGAGGAAACCGGGCCACCACCAGCAGCAGGCATGCTGGGTCCTCTGGCAGGTAGAGAGGGGGAAGGGCTGGTCCAGCCAGTCTCTTCCAGGGCCTGAGCAGGATGGTGACCCTCCCCCATACTAGTTACCAGCGGGGGTGGGGGGGATATGGATACACACTGAGTCAGCAGTCTGTCGAAGCAGGATCTCAATTTATTCCAACAGGCATGAACTTATATAGGATGAGGTATGGGATGGGAATCTTGGAATAGGGTAAGGTGACCTGAGGAGTTAAGGGCCAATAGTATTCCACCAAGCAGGCAGGTAGCTAGGCAGGGGGCAATCTTGCATCAGGTCTTGCTGAGTCACCCCCACGTGGAGGTTACAGGACAGAGACAGGTCGACAAACTCTAGCCAGGCTCAGGAGTTACACTGGGCCTCACATCGGAGCCTTTTTAGGCCCAACCCAGACATTCATGGGTACCCTGTGAAAGGTGATGCCCTCGCCACTCTGCCGGGTCCCTACCTATTTATATTAGTGTATCTTCGTTAAATAGTGTACAGGTTTCATCAATATCTCATCCAATCATACCATGTTTGTGTCTAGTTACCCTTTCTCCCTTTCCTCTTCCTATTGAGTCCTTTTCTACTTTCATACCATCTATCTTTAGATCTGTGTTAACATGTAAATATATATATTCAAGAAAACATTTATCTTTCTGAATCTGGCTTGTGCAGTCTAAAACAATGATGTACAGTTTGATTCATTTTCCAGCAAACAACGCCGCTTTGTTCTTTAGATGGCTGAATAAAACTAGGTTGTGTGTGCACACCACATTTCCCTTACCCATCCCTCCATGGATGGATTTGTCTGGTTCCACATTTTAGTCAATGGGAATTACAGAAAACACGGATGCACAGGTATCTCTGTGGTGTGCTCAGGAATACACCCCACAGTATAACTACACTATACGGCGGATCTAGTTCTAGTTCTTAGAGGAGTATCTTTGGGATTTCCACACAGGTCAGACTTGTTTGTGTTCCCAACAGCAGTGTAAGTGGGTTGCTTCCCCCACATCCTTGCCAGCATTTGTTGTTGGTTCACTTCATTATAGATTTTCACTTTTTTATGAGGGTTATGGTTGCTGGGCACCTTTCCCCAGCTACTTCAAGGCACGTACACTTTACTGTCTGCTTATGTGCGTGCCCACTTATTACTGATTCAACTGCTCGCAGTTACTTTTCTATTGCTGTAGTAAAAGACCATGTCAAAGCAACTTTAAAAAAAAAAAAGCACTTAATTTATGATTTCATGATGGTGGAGCAAAGGCGTATCAGCAGAAGCAGCTGAGAGCTCACATCTTAAATTGCAAGTGGGAGGTGGGTGGGTGGGGGCAGGGGGCATGACTGGAAATGGCAGGAGTCTTTGGAAAAGCCTCAAAGCCCATCCCTAGGGACACACCTCCCCCCCAACAAGGTCACATCTTCTAATCCTTCCCAAAGAGTCCCACCAAACTAGGCACCAAACATAAGTCTATGGGGACCGTTCTCATTCAGACCACCAGGGTATTGCTAGGTGAGTGTTGGGGGCGTGCATTTCATCTCTTTTGGGCTCTTTCTGTAGATGACTCGGTGTTAATGCCCTGTTGGACTGGCAAGGGCTTTCTCCCATTTTATTGTCTCTCATTGCCTCTTCTGCTGCGAGGATGCTATTCCATTTCACACAATCCCCCTTGTCAATTTCAGCTTCCTCTTGAGCTACCGAGTTCTTTCAGAAAATCCTCCCTCGTGCCTCTATTTTCATGTTTTTCTCTCACTAACAGATTCTGAGTTTCGGGTCTCCAATGCCATTGCTCCATTTTGAACTGATTTTTGTACAAGGTGACAGATAGGGGCCCAGTCCCACTCTTCTACCTGCGAATATCCAGGGTTTCCAGCATTGTTTGTTGAAGTTCATCTTTTCTGCAATGTTTTTTGGCATCTTTGTCAAAATTGGATGCCCGTAGCCACATGGGTTTGTCCGGGGCTTCTCTCTGGTTTATATGTGGTTTTGATACCATGGCTGTGCAGTGTAACTTGGGGCATCATGGTACCTTCAGTACTGCTTTTTGCTTAGTATTGCTTTGGCTATTTGGGATCTTCTGTGCTTCTATACTGGTTTTAGGACTGTCTTTTCTGTTTCTGTGAAGACGGTCACTGGAATTCTGTGGGGTTTACAGTCAATCTGTGGACTGTTTTTGGTGGTGTGACCATTTTCACAATAGTGAACATGTATAGTCCTTCCACTTACTAGCTTTGGTCTTGCCGGTGTTTTAAGGTTTTCACTGGAGAGGTCTGTTCTAGTTTGCTTTCTGTTGTGGTGGTAAACCAAGACCAAAAGCGACTTGGGAAGGAAAGGGTGCATTTCATCTCATACTTAGAGATCTCAGTCTATCACTGAAGGACGTAAAGGTGAGGACACAAGCAGGAACCACAGAGGATGCTTCTTAGTGGCTGGTTCCTCCTGGTCATTGCCCAACCAGCTGTCTTATCCAACCAGGACCCTGTCTTAGGAGTGGCACTACCCACAGTAGTCTGGGCCCTCCCACATCAATCAGCAAGCAAGACCATTCCTCACAAACTTCTAACAGACCTATCTGATCCAGGCCATCCCTCATTGAGACTCCCTCTTCCCAGGTACTTAGTTCTGCCAAGGTGACAATAAAATCTAACCAGGATAAGGTCTTTCATTTCTTTGATTAGTTTTCTTACTTTTTGTTTTGTTTTGTTTTATTTTTCGAGACAGGGTTTCTCTGTGGCTTTGGAGGCTGTCCTGGAACTCGCTTAGTAGTCCAGGCTGGTCTCGAACTCACAGAAATCCGCCTGCCTCTGCCTCCCAAGTGCTGGGATTAAAGGCGTGCGCCACCAATGCCCAGCTAAGGTCTTTCATTTCTTTGATTAGTTTTCTTTTAAATTTTTATTTTTGAGACTATTGTGATCAAGACTATTTTACTGGTTTCCTGTTATTGTCATATAGAAAGAATACTGAGCCGGGCGTTGGTGGCGCACGCCTTTAATCCCAGCACTCGGGAGGCAGAGGCAGGCGGATCTCTGTGAGTTCGAGGCCAGCCTGGTCTACAGAGTGAGTTCCAGGACAGCCTTCAAAACAATACAGAGAAACCCTGTCTCAAAAAAACAAAAACAAAACAAAAACAACAACAACAACAACAACAAAAAGAATACTGATGTCTGTATGTTGACTTTGTATCCTATTTTCCTAAGAGCTTTCTGGTGAGTCTTCATGTTCTCTAAGTACAGGACCATTTCATCTGCATATAGGATAATCTGGCTTCTTCCTTTCCTTTGTGTACCTTTTGGCTCTAGTTTGGGCTCAAGCACCATATTGAGTAAACACAGTGGACTCATTTGTCATATTTCTGATTTTCCAGTTTCTCCTCATTTACTATATGCTAGCTATAGGTCTGTCATATGTAGCCTTTATTATGCTGAGGTATGTTTCTCCTATTCCCCGTTTCTTCGGGGTCTTAATTATGAAGGAATATTAGACTCACCAGTAGGCTTTTCAGTATCTAGAGATGATTGCATGATTTCTGTCCTCAAATCTATTTACATTGTGTATTATATTTATTGGTGAATGCTGAACTTGACTCTACTACTTCTATGTCTCCTTAGACCAAGACAGAATTTCCCCAGAAGGCTTCTTGGCTTGTCTGTGTAGCCCCAACAGGAGGAGCAGGTCTGTCTCTAGATTCAGAACACCCCACATTGTTGCAGTTACCTTACCCAGACACCCCTTGGGGGAAGATGTGAAAAGACATTGAGTAACAGAGCATGGTGCAGACTGTTAAGGAAGTCAGGCCTGCCTTTATACCCCCTACCAAGGTCCTATTGGCTCAGGCGGCCGACTCTGCTGCATTGTCCTTTCCTCATTAGTGTCTCTGGGTCAGGTGTCTCTCTGTCAGCATCTCTGGGCATTGAGGCAGGCTGGGTGGCTTGGCTCAGGGAGGAAGTGCCTGTCGCACATGCGCGTGCGGGCTCGCCTGGGCACCAGAGGTAGGGCAACTGCTGCTTGGGTAGGCTGGCCGCAGTTTCTCCTACACCACATAATACATTGTCATAGCTTAAGAAACCCTGCGCTATAAGCCACTGATTTACATTTCTCTCCCACTGAATCGCAATGACTTGAAGGCAGAACCTGCCACCTTTCCGAGAACCATGAACAGAGCCTGAGTAAAGTTCACAGAAGAAAACAGTGTGAAGCCCCAAGGCAACACAATTCCCCAGGCTCACACCAATGCTCTGACTTAGGAATAATGCCATGAGGCTGGAGAGATGGCCCAGCAGTTAGAGCACTGGCTATTCTTCCAGAAGACCAGGGTTCGGTTCCCAGCACCCACACGGTGCTCTCTAGTTCCAGGGGGTCCAACACCTTCGAGTTTCCATGGGGCACCAGGCATGCAAGTAGCACCAGACTTACAAAACATTCATATACATAAAATAAGAAATCATGTCATAAAGTAGAGAAACCCTCTTGGATGTCAACATGACACTCTTTTATATAAAGGCACTTTATTTAAAGATCAACTTGTCTGTGTGAATGAGTCACTCTCCACATTCCATTGTTCGTGCTTGGGAGCAGAGTGTGCGGTACTTCTCTGGGCTCACAGCATAAACTGACATGGCATTCAAGAACTTATCTAGCGGGCAGAGCTTGTCGGGGCAGCCTCTCGGCACTTGCTCCTGTGGAAGAAATAGAACTCAGCAGGTCTGCACAGGACCCCACCCTTTTGCTGTCTTCAATTGAGTCCAGCAGCCTCATCTCCAAGCAGTATGTATGAGCATACATGTAAGGGCCAGAATCAGTATGTATGAGCACATATGTAGTGACCAGGAAGGCACCACTACCAACAGTTTCCAGCACTACATGCTGATGGCTGAGCAGGCTGGGAAAGCCTAGCTGAGTCCTAGCCCTGAGCTGGAAGAGTTAACAGTCCCATCCCGGATAGTACTCAGCTTCTCTCCCGGACATCAATGGTGATGGGTTAGCCAAGACACCAAGATGCTGGCAGTACAGACACCTCAGTGGCTTCCTAAAATGGGTCTCACAGTCAGGCTGTACCTGGCATCACAGTGTGCCTGACAGACAGCCTCAGGAAGGCTGGAGAGTAGCCCTGTTCCTGGAAGGAAAATCTGTAACAGTCCTGAGATGTGGTCTGTACATAGTTACCACAGGCCAACTACTACCCCAAGCTCTGTGGGATTCAGATGGCTGAGGCTACCCGGGGACTCCACTGGGCCTAAGAGACATTGGACACTAAACTGTGTGGGAGGGGGTTGGGTGCTTAGCCACCAACTATCCCCACCTCAGAGATCTTACTTACCTCCCCATGGTAATAGAGCTGCACAAACCACTCCTTAGAGTCTCGATGCTGGTAGAGCTCCATGGTCAGGTCAACAGCAAATGGAGGCCATTTGCGGTCAAAAATCCCCAAGGCCATCAGGATAGGCATGAGGGTTACATCATGTGTTGCATACAGGTAGAGCTTTCTGCAAGAAGGAAACAGTTCTCCACAACCGCTTGCGAGATCAGAGGCCAGGATGCCGCCTGTCTCCTCTGAGTGAAAACCAGCAGCTGCCTCAGAAACAAGAGGCCACTAGCAGTCGGCTGAGCTGGTTTAAAACTGCTCTGAAGCGGATGGTGAGGACCCCACTCCTACTCGTGTCCCGTGGAGAAGAAGGACCCCTGGAGCGACTCTCCTTGCTTCCTCCTCCCCACCCCTCACCCCCCTCCCGTGAGTTCAAGGGAGAAACAACCCAGGCGGCCCGGGGCCTGTCTTCCTTTGGATCCCGTCACCCCCTTCTTCCTACCCTTGGCTACTCGTGTGTAGTAGGGCAGCCCCTGCCCCTTGCAGGTTTGGAAATTGTAATTAATTTCAAAAGAATACTGTGTTGTCAACACATTTCCCAAGCAGTTTTAATCAGTAGTACAATAAGCCATTTTTATGGTATCTGCTTGATGCCAGCATTTCTCTCTCAAGGACTTTACTGGCTCTCAGCCTAGGAGACTGGCGCTAGGTCCTTCCTCAGATCAGGATGGAGAGTGCCAAGGCAGCAGAAGCATGACAGATGCAGTGCCCTGAGGTGTGGCAGGGACAGGGAGGGACACGGTACTGTCAGAGTCCTGCTCCAAGTCCAGGCCTGTTTCACCCCTAGGCTGGGCCCCCTGCACCTGTCACACACTTTTAGTCTGTTATTTGACCCTCACCCCTCTCTTCACACTCCAGCAGTACTTTAGCTAAGAGGCATCTAGTCACAGTGCAGGTCTCCCTCAGGAGGATAGGAGTGCCAGGAGCTTAAACAAGTTTTTAGGTTACAACACGGCTGGCAGAGCACAATTTGCTGAGCAAGTGCCCAGGACACATGGCATTCCAAATCTGGGGTCCTAGGCTCTGGGAATGTGGGGATAGAAGCCCGTGAGCTATTTTCAATTTTTTAAAATGTACAGTGACCATACCCTCTGTATACTGAATAAAGGATTTGAACTAAGTCATCATTGTTTTGGACTATTAAAAAGTCAATCAGTATGATATTAATGTATCCAGGCAATCAGTGGAATATTAAATGTATCTAGTTAACCAGTGTGATATTAATTTTTAAAAAAGAAGGGGACAATAACTTTGAGACATTAAATAAAAACATGCAGGAAGAAAAGCCAAAACGTTGTGAACTGCTTGGTGACGCGTGGCCTGGAAAGCATTTACTTGTAGCCAGGCAGCCTGGCTCTTGACCCACACCCCTGGAGTCCCTCCCGGCAGCCAGAGGTCCCATGGCTCTCCACGGCACAAGCATTCACTGTGCTGGGTACCTGGTCTTGCTGGGTGGAGTCGTGGGGTCCACAGCTCTGAGCAGGTTTCCCTTCAGCATGTGTAGGAACGGGCCCACTGCCATCTGGATGCTTTCCCTGTGAGATTGAGTAACATTCAAGCGCCCAGCAGGCACTCCGCACCCAGAAGAGGCATCAGCTCTGCCTCCCAAGACCTCAGGAGCAGTCAGATGAAGCCGAGGAAAAGCTAAGGGAGGCGGGGGCACGGCAAGGGCGGGGAGAACGAGCTTCGCATGACTTGGAGTGTTCTCTGTGAGAAAGGACTCCCAACAATACACACATCAGGACGCACACGGCCACAGAAGAGCCGGAAGCTATAAAGGACTAGGCCCTGGGCTGGGACACGGCTCGGAGGGTGAGGCACTTCCTTCTGAGCCTGATGGAATGGGAAGCTACGAACTGGAAAGGAGCAACTTGATCCCAAGTGTCCTGACTTCCACGTGCGCACATTTTACCTGGGCATGTGCATACACAATAATTAAATGTAAAAAAAAAGGAAGCACACCTTGATTTGAGGAATAAAACAGCAAAACTGGGAAGGGCAGAGGAAACAAGACTCAGAAATCCCAAAAGGAAAAGCACTTGCTAACTGCCCCTGCATGCAGCTCCGCCTTCGGGACTGAATCATGGTAAAGACTTTAACTTTGTGAGCTCAGAGCTATGCCCCTGCCACTTTCATTCTGGTTCATCCCATGACCGCAGATGACTGTAATGCCACGCATATCCTCTCAGTACTGAGCAAAGCAAAGACAGGCTGGCAAGTGACAAAGGTTTATCTGGGAGTGTGCCTCGTGCTTTCTATTGGGGAGGACGCTCCAAAAACTAAAACAAAACCCACTACTCTTAGGAGATCCAGTACTCAATCACAAAGGAGGAGGCAGACATGATCGGAGTAGATCTGTCTTAGAAACTGCTACCTTTAGCCGGGCGTTGGTGGCGCATGCCTTTAATCCCAGCACTCGGGAGGCAGAGGCAGGCAGATCTCTGTGAGTTCGAGGCCAGCCTGGTCTACAGAGCGAGTTCCAGGACAGCCTCCAAAGCCACAGAGAAACCCTGTCTCGAAAAACCAAAAAAAAAAAAAAAAAAAAAAGAAATTGCTACCTTTATAACTGAAGGCATGGTAAGAAATGGGTAAAGGGGAGGGAACCAATACTGCATGTGACAGGTACACAGGCCCAGACAGTCCAGACTGTACTGTGACGTTGGATCATTTGACCTTGAAGGAAACATCAGTTTATTGAAACTGATAAAAACGGGAAGAAGGATGGGTCAGAAGAAGGCACGCCACGATGTGGCGGAAATACGAGCCTCCTGTCTGTCCCGTCTTAGAGACCATGCCCACACCCTTTTGTGTGCATAGTGCCCACAGCTGCTTCATGACGCACAAAGACCAGGCTGCCACAGACCATGCCCCCATGGAGCCCGAGGTGGTCCCAGGTATGTTTATGTGTGGACTGGTAGCAGCGAGGGCAGTGAGTGGCAGTTTAGGTCTGGTGGGACCACGTCATGAACAAAACTTGGAAGCTGCTGAGTCCCAGCTGAGTAGCTTGGCTGGAGAACTTCTGGATGCCCGGGACTACTACACAGATGGGCATGCTGACTCCAAGCCAATGCGACCAGGGGCTCATGCAACAGACCCTGCAGATTCTTGGAACGTTAACAGTTCCCCTCCCCCAGCACAGCCCCAGACTATCCCCTCCCTTTGTCTTAACTGCTTCCAAGTCACCTATTCCTAGTGCAAACCAAATGCTCTTAAATAGAAAGAAAAAAAGCAGTGCAGTGGGCATTCCAGCACCGAATGCCAAGTCCCAACCAGACCTAGCAAATGGGTCGGAGGATGTGAGAGCAAGTCCTGGCTCTGCTGCCTGCCAAATGAGCCAAGGAAAAGCAGCCAGCCTCTCAGGCCGGCCCTCCACCACAGCCGTGCTCAGATCAAAGCAGGGCTCTGTGGGTTCTGTCCAGTTCCTTTACCTAGAAAAGCAGCAAAGAATGAAGGATGCATCCCACCCGGAGAGAACGGGGAATTATTCAAGTGAGCTGTGGTCAACGGAGTGTAGCATAATGACGCCTCCTCCTTCCACGCACTCCACTCACGCTTTTGAAAAGTGAAGCAAAAGAGGAGACTCAATGGAGGACCAGGTCACCAGCCCCAGCTCAGAAGTAAGAGCAGAGGCCTGAGGGTAGGCTAGCAGACAGGGCTCTCACCTCCGGGGTGAGGCAGCCTGACGACTCCCACCACCTCCCCTATCCCTGCCACTGACCAAGAATCACCTGTAGCCTCTCACCTGTCTTCCTGCTGCAGCACATACACAGCTGTGTCCACAGCCCTCTGCTCAATCATCTGGGCAAACCGCTTCAGTGCCGGGCAGCTGAGGAGGCTGTGCACCTGAAATGGTCACCGCCGATGTTACAGGAAAACACTTCTTACCTACCACGGCACCAGGTGGCCTCTACGTTTCTTCCTGGGGAACCTATGACCCCAGGGCCCTCTAAAACTTTGAATTTATCAAGATCTATAGGCACAGAATTGTTGGGCTTTTTTTGTTGTTTGTTTTTTGGTTTTTTAAGACAAGGTTTCTCTGTGGCTTTGGAGGCTGTCCTGGAAATAACTCTTGTGGAGCATATTGGCCTTGAACTCACAGAGATCCGCCTGCCTCTGCCTCCTGAGTGCTGGGATTAAAGGCATGCGCCACCAACGCCCGGCTTGTTTTTTATTTTTTTTAAAGATTTATTTTTACTTTATGTGTACTGGTGTTTTGGTGTTTGCCTGCATGATGTCTGTGTGAGGGTGCAGACGCCCTGGAACTGGAGTTACAGACAGGTGTGAACTGTCATTGGGAATTGAATCCAGGTCTCTGAAAAGCAGTCAGTTCTCTTAACTGCTGAGCCATCTCTCCAGCCCCATACAGGCACGGGATTGTAAAGACTGCTTCCCACCCCATGATGGCTCCTAACAATTTTTAACTTTTAAAAAATAAAATATAAACCAAGGAATTAAAAAATTTCATTTGATTTTTATTTTCCCTAAAATGATTTTAGAAACTGTATGCCATAGAAATACGTTTCATGAACCCTTGCCATATAAACTTAAATTTACTACACATAAGCACAAGGCACAGGGATGCCTGGGGGGGCATTGTCACTGTTGTAAGAGAAAGAAAAAGACACCTGCACTGCCTTTGGGCATCCAGCCTTTCAATCCACAGAAGGGTTCCCAGTGTGTGATGCTATTATTGCATGAAATGTAGTATATATTTCAATGCACTTTAATAATATGTACATATCACATAAAATGTTATATGCATTCATAAAATGTAATATGTGTAATATATTTTTAGTACATAAAAAGATTCTATGGCTAAATCAATTTGAGGAAAACAGACTAACAGATTAACCAGATTACTTTACGGGCATCTCAAAGTTTTATATTATCAATTCACTGTTATTGAGTGTGTGTGCGTGTGAGCATGTGTGAGTGTGTGTGACTGTGTGTGTGTATGCTGATACTCATACAAGTTCTCTAGAAAGTGACACAGATAAAGAGGGACCCTAAAATTTACAAGTAAAGCATGGCGGGCGGCACACACTTGTGACCCCAGCACTCAGAAAGAGCTGAAGGCAATCCTTAGATACTGTATAGTTAGACACTGTTTCAAAGAAAGCCAAAAATTGGGTTGGGGAGATAGATCACTTAGTAAGGTGGTTGCCATCCAAGCTTGAGGACCTGAGTTTGATCACCTGAGCCTGCTTACAATTCCAGCCCTGCGGGTAGAGAGACAGGCAGATCTCTGGAGTTTCCTAAGCAGACAGCCTAGCATACTTGGCAAGCTCCAGATCAGTTAGAGACCATCTCAAAAACCAAGGTGGATGTCTTCTGCAGGACACGTGAGGTCATGCTCTGGCTTCCACACACGGGTATTTGTACACTGAAAAAGGGTATGCATATTCTTTAACATGCTTCCTATTCACCTGTTCCCTACTCTCCCGAATACACACAGGCCAAGGGGTGTGGGAAATACTTCCAGAAACTGATCTAGAACTGGCTGTCTGGGTCCTGGATGGAGTCATCCGATTGGTCCTATCCTTTCCTGGTTGCTCTGGGCCCTTGGGTCCCCACATCCATTCCATTTGCAAATCCTATTAGAGCAGCCTCAGACACAGGCCTTCCAGCCAGCTCTAAGTCAGGAGCAAGTCCATTCCCATGGCTCCCCGGGAACCAGGGGAAACAGTTACCCTACCTGCTCTGCAGCCACGTTGTCCAGGAGAATGAAGAAGTCCACCTCATCACCACTGCTGATACCCACACCTGCCTTCACCTTTTCCAAATCCTCAGCCATCCCTGGCTGCAAAATGGCAGTCTTCTTCCGGCCTCTGCCAAAACCACAAGCTCTTACTACTGTACAGTGATCAGTGATTTACAAAATGTATTGTGTTCAATGTTTATCATCCCGTGTAATCCTTACACCAGCCTGGTGTTGTTAGCAATATTATTCCCATTTTACAGATGACAAAATTAAGGCTGTAAGAAGTTAAACGACTTATAAATGTAAGTGAGCAAGAATTAGGGTTAGAATAAAAGGCTGAATTTTCCAAATCCTATTCTTCTGATGTTGCTACCTGTTTTACCAAAACCAATGCATAACTCAGATCTGTGTGGAAACGCCATTCTTTTTTGCTCTGGAATATGGTCTTAGTGCACCCCAGAAGTGCCTGAGCACTGGCAGATGCCAGTAAGAACTAGAAAAGCCTGTTACCTGGTCTTCTCTCTCAGGACCCAGCAGTTCTGATAGTTGGGGTACAGGACTTCAGAGTTTGCCTCATCAGTTTGGATGGTGACAGATCCTGGAAGGAGGAAGGAAACACAGGTGGTTGGGACCGTAGCTCACTCTCCCAAACACCCCCACTCCTGCCTTCTGTGTCCCTTTGTCTACAGAGCTGACCTAAGTGGCAGATCCCAAGGTCACCCTGCCCCGGTTCTGCCCACAGCTCTCCTCCAAGCGCTGGGTGACACAGTAGCTTTGTTCTGGGCCACAGACTAGAACATGCACAGACCTGGATCACACAGGTGCTTCTCTGACTCATTCCAAAGATTCCCTGCCCAGGGCACAATCAAGACCCGGCTGTGGGTGTTCTATTACAGAATGGCTGGCTCTGCTTCATCGGAATCGGGTTACTTTCTTGTTTCCCAAAATTCACTTTCGCAGACCAACACAGTATCTTATCACAAGGCTACTAAACCACTCAGCTCAGAATCCACAGTGGATCAAAGTGGAGGGACTCTGATTTTCAAAGCAACAGAACACCCCGTCACCCACCCCCACCCACTCATTACTATATAACATAATAAAGAAACATGTCAGTGTCCACAAGGTGAGCCCAAAGCCCATGTACATGTCCCATCATCCTTATTTCTTTAGCTCCTGGGAACCCCTCTGAAGAATTCTGGGATCTTGTAAGATATGTTCAGAAAGGAACAGATTAAGGTTGGGCATGGTGGTGCAAAATTGTTACCAATGTACTTGGAGAGGAAAGGCAGAAAGACGAGCTACTCAAGACCAGCCTCCACTATACACTGAGTTTGAGGCCAGCCTGGACTACATGAGTCAGTCAGTCTCTCTGTCTCTGTCTCTGTCTCTCTGTCTCTCTGTCTCACACACACACACACAGCATTAGTATCAATGAGAAGGCTCAGTGGGTAAATGCACTTGTCACCAAGCCTGACAACCCTAGTTTAGTCCTCGGAACCCACATCGTGGAGGAGAAAGGACTTCTACAAGTTATCCTCTGGTCACCATGCATGTATGATGGCACACATACATGAAACACACATAAGTAAACTTAAAAACAAAAACCAGACAAGCTACCAAAGACCCTGCCTAGACGTCCCAGATGTGCCCATCCTCAGAGGAGCAGCTGACAAGGTGACAAATATGGACTTTGAAGCCAGACAGCCAGAACTTGAATCCCATCAATCCCATCTCCAGATCTGGGCTCCTGGGCAAGCTACCCAGCCTCTCTTTGCATTAGTTCTCTTATCTGTAAAAGGAGTTGATGGTGTCTGCTCCACAACATATGCAAAGTTTTTAGAACAATGCTTCATGTGTTAGGATAATAACCATGGTATGAACCTCTAACGTAACTCTATGAACCCATGTCCATCTGCAGTCTTCTCCTGCTGGCAAGGCATTGGAATACGCTAATGGTGACTAAGGCATACCTGAGCAGGCAATCTGCATTTAACGACTGACTGGCAAGTGGGCAGATGGACCATCTCCAGCTTCCTGCACAGTCTGCTGCCTTCTAGCTTATACCTAGCCAGCTCTGGCACTCTGCAGGGTTCCACTCTGAAAGCCAGTCTGTAGTCGCCCTATTCCTGAGTGGCAGCGGCTTCTGCAGTTCTTGGTACTAAGAAAGGCACAGATTATCTCTGGGGGAAGTTTCACCAGGCTTCCAATAACTCAGGGAGTCACCACCCAAGGCACGAGGCAGCTGGTGCCCTCCCTGCTAGAACCCGGGGCATCCTCAGTCTGCATCCTGCATCCCACGGAGAAGGACCACAGGTGACTCAGAAGCATCTCAGCTACCCTGGGAAGGGGACATTTGTCTTTCTGGAGATGAGCAAAGGAGGAACTTTCTTAAGGCCAGGCCTGAGGGTTCCCACAAAGGGGCAGTCTGCCCTGTTTGCTTGGCTTGCTAGGCACAGTGTGTGAGGCGCCGGGCTTCAGTCAGGGTTAGCAGCAGCCCCAAAGCCCTCTGGCCTGATGGTCCTACTGTCCTTCAAAGTTTGATGGAAACTTTATTTCCACTTAAGATACTTCTAGAAGCAACAAAACAACCATTTTTGCTATGTAGCAGCTTTCCTGTCTTAATATCTGTTAGGTCAGACCAGTTAGGTCATGATTATCTGAAATTCAAAAGAGTACTTCCATGTGGATTTGAATCAAATACAAACAGCCTCATTTGGAGGTCAAAAGCCCTGGTAGGGTTTGTATCTGTAACTGGTCTGAATCACAGGCTCCTGTTTTGAACACTTGTTCCCTAGAGGGAAGGTCAAGTATGGGAACATGTGGGACCCTGACAAAGTGGGGCCTGGCTGTCGCTTAGATTAGTGGCGGCAGGCCTCTGCAGGATACACCTGTCTCTGCCTGGCATGTGTCCTGGTCTGTCACAACGTGAACACTCACTACCACACTCGGGCAGCCACAGGGGGAGACACAGAGGAGCCTCTGCAGGATGTTCCTGCTTCCCCGCTACTGCAAGCACACCTCATCTTCCTGACAAGGCAGCCTCCCATCACTCTGAACACGCGAGCCAGGGTGAACCTGTGTTCCCTTGAGCTGCTTTTGTCAGGTCTCGCAAGGGATCCAGGAAGGAAGACATACAGCCCTCACAGGTGAAAAGTTTTGAAACTGATGACTGTAATCGTTCACTGATTAAATATGTTGAGACTCGAACTGAGTAAATTTCTCAACCAAGCAAGGCTTAGTAGAACACGGCTGATACGATCTGGGCTGCATCAAGGATTATCACCAAGATCAGAGTGATGACAGCAGTCTGTAGTCCCAGCTAAGAGTGCCCCTCACCCTCTTTTTCAGTAATGCCTCACTACTGCTCACAAGACTGGGCAGGGTTACTTATACAGCTAGTGTGGAAGCCCAGGGAGTCAGGAGGCGGAGGTATACCCAATTCCTGCTCGCCGTGGAGGTCAGGTTGGCAAGGACGACCAAGGCATGGACGATGAAGGCCCCCCCTGAGATACGAGCAACTAGAAGTCATGGGTGCAGGAGGGATCAAGAAAGGCACAGAGGGAATGAAAGGGCGTTGGGCGTGAGAAGAAAGAGTTCCTCTGGCACAGGGGTGACTTTCAGACCCAAACACAAACCTTTCTGATGTTGGAAAAGCCCAGCCAGCAAACACCGAGTAGATTCCAGATTCCGAAAAATGTTGGTGGAGCGAACACTGGGGGGAAATGAACATGCAGAGGCAGAGATGCTCACACAGGAACGCAGAACAGCTGGGAATGGAGCAGGTGTAAACCTCTCAAAGCCACATTCGGGACACCATGGGAAGGGAACCCTTCCTACAGACTGGCTGCGACCAGGGACCTGAAGGCCGATGGCTGTGACCTTCAGTGACTACCTGTTCACAGAAGCTTATGACACAAGGGTAACTACACAGTGGCAATTTGTCCCCCAAACCACCTTGGATGGGAGTGGGAGTCAGGACACGTTGTGGATGCTCAAGACCTGAAATGGGTATCTCCCTGTCTATGACTCACAAGACCTCTTGTGGGTTGAAGACAGGTGAAAGGAAGGGGATATCTTCCATGTAATTCTTCCTCAGTCTCTCGCCCAGGGCAAACATCTGCTGCATGCCCACCTTGGTCAGCTGCCCAGCAAACACACCACCCTAAAGCGGGGCATAGAGAGAGAGAGATTGGACACCTGGCGGCTCAACTCAGCCCAGAGAAAAATCCCTGCAGCTCTACAGTGGGCTTCACAGAGCAGAGCAGCATCACTTACCTTCAGGGTGGTCTTGTGGTATTCCGAGTCATAAGGAGAATGAGGTTTGGGGCCACCAGCTAGATTGGTGACAGTGTACTCAAACTGAGTTTGAGGTGGGATCTCTAAAAGCTTGGGGGTCCACTCCACCTGTTGTGGCCATAAAAAAATGATATCTAGTTAAATAAACGCTCTTGAAACTCACAGCCCTAACACCCTGTGGCCCCTGGAATACATGACTGGAATCGCTCGGCACTAGGCCTGCAACCCCTCCTTGGAAAGGAAGGAGAGAACCCTGAACTCTACTGATGCGGATGGCCTTCTGTATGCTGCGTGTGTTGCTTTTACTGGTTGGTGAGCAAAGCTGTTTTGGCTTATGACAGGACAGAATATAGATAGGTAGGAAATCCAAACAGAGAGAAGGTGGAGTGAGAGGGACAGCATGTAGACGCCAAAGGGGTAGGATGTCAGAACATTCCCGGTAAGCCATGACCATGTGATGATACACAGATCAGTAAAAATGGATTAATTTAATTATGAGAGCTAGTCAGCAATATGCCTGAGCCATTGGCCAACAATACTGGAGGGCGGGACAAGAAACCTCCAACTACACTCTACCTCCCACTAAAGGAAGAAATGACCATGATTTACCATTCCCGGTGTCCTTAGCTCAAGTCCTATTGGTGGCATACTAAGACTCACACTTACAGTGCTGTGGTCACACTAACCCCTAAAAAAGGGAGAAGTAGGCAGGCTGCTTGACATACAGCGATTCAGTGAATCGGTGAGTGAATGAACGAGGGGGTAAACGAATGACTTAAACGAGATCTCAGTGGCTGCCATGTTGGAAACAATTTCTAAGGAATCAATGTAGCTTCCATGCCCCACACCCACACCTCGGACTCTGCTTAAGGCCCAGAGTTGCTATGGCCATTTCCTTTTCACTTCTCCAGTTTTGAAACAAGTGGCTGCTGTCTACAGACACCTTTGTTTCTCTCCCGTCTTCCTTCAGTCCTCACAATCTGGCTCCTGCCTCAACTGGATGATTTTCAAAGCATCACGGGCCTCACATCTCAACCGACCCATGAGGCTTTCACTCCTGAGGAGTGAGACGTGATGATCTTCTAGTCCAGTGGTTCTCACCCCTCCTAATGCTGCAACCCTTTAATACAGTTCCTCTTGTGGTGGTGACCCCCGATCAGAAAATTATTTTCATTGCTATTTCACAACTATAGTTTTGCTATGGTTTGAAAGGCCAAACCAGAGTCATCCTAGAGAAAAAGGTCCAAAAACAGCACTATGTAAGAAAACCTGACCCCGTGGCCTGTGCAGATGGCTTACACCATCCACCCGGAAAAGCTGACAGGCAGGAAGGTGAGAACTACAAATGCCCCCCAACCCCCACAGGCGGGGAAGGGGAGACAAATCGCCCTGACCCAGGTCAACCAACCTGAAAAGTTGAAAAACAACTTTTATGGGCACAAATGGTACAAGAGATAAACAAACCCCTGGAAGGTCCCCAGTACCCCTGAACTCTGTAGCCAACCCTATTCTGTGATCTTTTCCTTTATAAACTCCTCGCACCCGGGGCGGTGGTGGCACACACCTTTAATCCTAGCACTCGGGAGATAGAGGCCAGCCTGGTCTACAGAACGAGTTCCAGGACAGCCTCCAAAACAATACAGAGAAACCCTTTCTCGAAAAACCAAAAATAAAAATAAAAAAATAAACCCCTCCCTTATGAGGCTCGAGACCTCCTGCAGCTGCTGCGTCAGTCTGTGGGAGGAGATCCCTGCCTCGGCTGGCTTGAATTCAATAAAGAAACCTTGTGCACTTGCATTCGGGCAGCTGGCTCCTTGGTGGTCTCTTTGGAGGTGCTGAGGACTGGGAATAACAGGTTATAAATCGTAATGTAAATATCTATTTTCTGATGGCCTTAGGTGACCCCTGTGGAAGGGTCATTTGACCCCCAAGTTGAGAACCAATAATGGTCTAGTCCATACACTGGCTCCTCTTCCCAATGCTCTAAAATCCAAACCCCCGGCTCCCCACGGTCCCGGTCCTTGAAGCAAACTCTCATTCATAGCATGCAATCAAAAAGCCGTGGCCATGGCCTGAGCTTACACAGCAGTTTCACTGGCTGTTTAAAAGCCTTCATCAAACCACACCAGGCAAGTTCCTCTACTAATCTATCCTGCTCTATAGACAGCTTCTGGGGAAGAGAAATAGAGTCATCTATTGGTTTTCTAGTTTGGATACTATTATCAGCTCTGATGATCTCCCAGATCCTGGGGAAGATAGCACAAAGGTAACCTGATCTGGCCTTCCCTAGGTTTTCAGCTTAGAGGAAGGAAGCCTTGATTGTAAATGATAGTGATGACATAGCAGGAGCTGGTCTGTCCTCCAAGATGCCAAATGCAGCTGCATAGCTCAAAGCCCAACACTTTGGCTGCAGAGTCAGAAGTTTCCCAAGGAATGATATTTGCAAGGGATGCAGAGAAGCAAACCCCTGAACTTGGGAGGAGGTAGCCTCAGAACAGTATATAAAAGGAAAATGACAATTTTTCCAGTTGAAGTGGGAGTAGGTGCCCAGAGCCCCAGAGGCCCAGCACACCCACAGCAGGTGTGAAAGGAACAAGGCGTCACAGAGTGGTCTGAACGCCAATGGTGCATGTCACAGTTACAACTGACATAGAAGAGCTGGTCTGAACACGTCAGCGAGACCTACGAGGCTCCATCTGAGGCAGCAGGAATACAGGAAGTGGGCAGACACCTCCACTTGGGGGTGGGGCTGAGAGGTAAGCAGAAAGAATAAGGACGGATACGGCTTTGGCTTTGAGCTTGTGGGCAGGGTGCAAGCGGAAGTGCAGGGAAGCTGTGATCACTTGGGGTCAGGGGAGGGTAATTGCCTCCTTCGTGTTCCGGGGCGCTCTGCACATTCTTGTGAGTCAGATCTGGATGCTCCGAGTCTCTCCTTCACCATATGTAAATTGTTTTAGAGCTGAGACTAAGCCTCCACTTTGGTTAAGTCCAGTGTGGAGCACAGAATGTGACATTTGGGTCCACAGGGCCACTCAGACTCACTAGGTAACCTCTGAGCACATTCACCAACAGGAACAATTCCTGATGTCCAGGTCACGCTGAGCCTAAGCACATGATCCAGATATTCATGTATGGATGACATACCCATTCATAGATTGTTCCTCACCCCTGACTCCCACCCCCTCATTCCTGCTGTTCAGTTTCCGAGTGGTAAAGGCAAACCCAGACCAGGCATAGTGAAAGAAGGCTGAGGCAAGACTGCTTTGAGTCCAAAGCCAACCTGAGCTACAAAAGTGAGTTCCAGGACCATCTCGGCATCAAAACAAGATCCTGTTTCAGAGGATGGAGGCAGGGGAGAGACTAACTTGATAGCTTTACTTCATCTATATACACATCATCTTTAAAGAGAAAATTAGGAGGCTGGAGAGATGGCTCAGTGGTTAAGAGCACTTATTGGTCTTCCAGAAGTCAGGGATTCAATTCCCAGCATCTACACGGAGGCTTGCAACCTTCTATAACTCCGGTTTCAGGGGACCTGATGCTCTCTGGCCTCCACGCTCACCAGGCACTCTCATGGTGCTGAGACACACACGGAGGCAAACACACATATACACACAAACTATAAGAAAAACCCTTAAGAAAAGAAAATATAATTTAAAATAACTAACTTTAAATTAGACCAGGCTGGCCTCGAACTCACAGAGTCCGCCTGTCTCTGCCTCCCGAGAGCTGGGATGTAGGAAAGATGACAACAAACAAGTGTAGGGACAAAAATGGTCGCAGTGGTCAGGCTACTGAAGGTGCACGTGGCGAGGAGTCGAATGTTGACTGTGGGGGACTAGAGGTTCTGGACTAAACTGCTTTTAGAACGATGCTAGACCAGCTCAAGGATACAAGCAAGACAACGGCTCAGGAGAAGTACATCACCCTTAAAGCCAACAGACAAATTCCTCCCACGGGGCCTCATAAAGAGGACAGCAGATGTAAAGGACATCTGTCCAGTTGTCACAGCAATAAGTTCTGTGGAACTGTTTCTCCCTGCTCCCTCAACACAGCATAAACACCCTGGGAAGGCTGGGTGTGGGGTGGATAGACTACAGCCCAGGAAAAAGAAAAAAAATACAAAAATATACCAACACCCTTCCAGGTGAAGATTTTATGGAATAAAAAGCAATGGTTTTAAACCTTGGTTATACGCAAGGCATCACAAGGAATCTTTCTTCCTTTCTTTCTTCCTTTCTTTCTTTCTTTCTTTTTGTTTTTTTGAGACAGGGCTTCTCTGTAGCTTTGGAGGCTGTCTTGGAACTCACTCAGTAGACCAAGCTGGCCTGGAACTCACAGAGATCAACCTGTCTTGGCTTTCCAAGTGCTGGGATTGAAGGCGTATAACACCACCACCCAGCTCACAAGGAATGTTTAAGATGCTGATGTCCAAGCCTCATTCTGGGTCAATCGCATCTGGATTTCTGTGGTGTGGGGTCTCTACTTCTCAGCACTATGGAGCCCAGATAGTTCTAAAGCACCAGAGAAGAGATGCTCCTGCAACGCCTACATACCATGCACCGATTAAGTCTGGATCTGCAGGAAGACCCAGGCATGCATGCATAGTGCGTGTGTGTGTGTGTGTGTGTGTGTGTGTGTGTGTGTGTGTGTGTGTGTGTGTGTGTGTGTGTGCGTGTTTTGCCTGCACATGTATCTGAGCACCACATGTGTGCCTCGTGCCCACAGAGCCCAGAGTGCAGCAGTGCCCCTGGAATCGGACACACAATTTTGAACAGCCATCCAGGTGCTAGGAACTGAACCAAAGTCCTCTACAAGAGCATTAAGTGCTCTTCACTTCTGAGCCACTGCTGTGGCCCTTGGGCATGAATGCTACCCCAGTAGAATTCAATATCCTGCCAGGATTTAGAATCTTCACCCCAGAGGAATGAATGAACAACACATCTTTCATAAATACTTCTCTCGGCTGAGTTTTGGTTCCCACTCATCTATACTGTCAGAGACAGAGAAGACAATGAGGAAACGGGGTAGGTTGAACTTTATGTTCAAAAGGTTGAAGAACCGCCCTACACGGGGTCATCTTGACATTGTCTGGAAGAAGCTGGGGAAAAGTTGAAAGCAGAGCCAGGAGCTTTTATTGCTTGAAAGTGAATTTGGAGCTACTCTGAAGGTCAGAAATATGTTCAACCTAGTGCCACAATTTTATTTCCAAAGCACAGTCTTTTGGAAGGATAGAACAACTGTTGCCCAAACCACACGAACACAATTCAGCAAAGCATCTCCTCTTAAACAATGCCACTTTGTAAGGGTCTGTGAGAAAGCTGAAATGATGATAACATGTTTATCTATAAGCTAGTCAGAAATCAGAAAATGTAGCAAAGGTAATTTTAGTTTTATAACTGTTGCCACGAAGTCTGCTCTGACAATAACAGCAGAATAAAAGAGACCAGACATATCAATGACTATGGGTATTGAAAAGAAAACTTGGGAGGACATCCAGAAACAAGTCACAGGAGGCTGATGACATTTACGCACAGCCAGCAAGTTGGTTCTACACCCCCCCCTGCTCCCAGCCCCCCACCCCCGGCTTTTACACACAGAACTTTGTCCAGGAAAACCAGCATGTTTAAAGCTTCTACCTAGGGCTGGGGAGACAATTTAGCAGTCAAGAGTGCTTGCTTTGAGGACTGCAGCCTGTTCTCGGCCGCCACATCTCGAGGCTCATAACCGCCTATAACTACAGTTCCAGGAGATCTGATGCCTTTCTCTGGCTTCTCAGGCACCTGCAACACCCCCCTGCGCCCTAAAATCTTAAAGTATCAGCCGTGCCTTGGTGGCACTTGCCTTTAATCCCAGCACTCAGGAGGCAGAGGCAGGCGGATCTCTGTGAGTTCAAGGCCAGCCTGATCTACAGAGTGAGTTCCAGGACAGCAGGACAGCCTCCAAAACAATACAGAGAAGTGAAGCTGGGATTCTCAGTATCTTCCACCATAAAGGTGTAAGATTCCCATCACATACCCACTTGTACACACACAAGGATTTAAATCTATTTGCAATTCCAAGTGAAGCTGGAGTAATGTAACTAATACCTTCCCGGTAATGGATTGAGTGGGATGGTTTTTCCCAGTTCCCTCAACACAGAATGGTAACACCTTGTCAAAGCATGCCAGTGAAGCCACTTCTGTATAGAGTTGACCAGTGCAGGCTGACTTAGACAGGTGCTTGCACTGTCTGTATACACTGGGGCCAGATCTAGACAGACAACTTTATTCTCTGCTGTCACAGAGAATTCTGTCTGAAACGTCAATATATCTAACACTCTGTAAGATGAAATAGAGGACAGGGCTACAAAGAGATGGGCCATGTGTGGACAAAATAATAAGAAAACGTTCAAAACCTAATTTTAAAGACCCTACAAGGAGGGGGCAGGGATCAAAGAAGCAAAAAGAAAAGTGCAGTACCAGACAGAAAGTAGTATAGCTAACTACTATAGTATAGTAGTATAGGTCAACTAGAGACGTGGTAATTAAGTCTTTCCCACAGTGCCCTAGAGGCTTGGCTTTTTCATAGCTGACCCTCTTTAAAGACAGGATCTTGGGTTTCATGATATGAAGATAAAACTCACAGCATTTCAGGGAAGCAGATATGATCATGAAGAGTATATCCAACTGAACAAATATACACTTCACCGATAAATTCAACACTTGGGAACTTCTGGTGCCCTATTCTTTCTTACCCGGCAGGCAATCATTTTATAAACAAAAAGCTAACTACTTGTGCTTTAATCATAATTAGCCTGACTTACAGCCACAAGACTAGCAAATTTAATTTTTTATTGGCTTCCAAGATTTCTAAACCTAAAACGTAAAGAGCCCCAAGATACACTGCTCAGTCACTAATAGATCTCAAATGGATTCCAGCAAGCCCTGAGAAAATCTATATTAATATCTGGTCCCCAAGGCACCAGCCTGTTCTGCTCAGTGACAGCACTTAGGGTGGCCTCTGGTACAAAGGTCTCTGCAACTAACAACCATCGAAACAGGCACTTACAAGGTCCACTGTACCCTTGAACTCAAGCTCACGCAAACACGTAACTGCTAAATGCAACTCAACTCCACATCTGCATTTAGATTCTCTAGGCGATTCCTATGCATCTTTTAAAAGTTACACTGCGCCTGGAAACTGAAAGTTTGGGGGAGCTGCCCTAGCTAGGAAGGATTATACATTGGTGGAGCGGGGGATGAAGATAGGGAAGAGGACTCCAGGTCACAGCCTGTGAGACAGTCTACTGCTGTTTTCCTCTGGTCTGAACCCAGCCCGAGCCCCTCTGCGGCCAGGGGAAACCCGAAGGTGGGTCCCACCAGCATCTAAGTGGGCCGCCTCTCACCTGCTCCTCCACCGGGAGCGGCTTGAGCGGACTCCGTGCTCCGTGTCGAAACACAACCTGCACCATTTTCAGCTCCAGTAGGCTGCGGTCCACCGGATGCTGGCCACCAGGCGCCCGATGCTCGGCCAGAGCTATCCGCCGCTGATGGAAGCAGTAAGCCAACGAGGCCAGGACGCCCACGGGGGCCCACACGCGCATGCTGGAGGCTCTGGAAGCTGAGGGTTCAGCAGGCGCCGGGGTTCAACAGCCTCCCCGAAGTTCGCAGTGACTGGAGGGCAAGCACTTCCAGCCCTCAGAAACAAGTGACTCCAGAGGGGCGACCTAGCGACACTGAAGCCAGAGGGGCGGGCGCCTGGTGGAGAGAAACGTAAGGGAGCAGAAAGACTGCCTGGTAGGTTAAGCCCAGCCGACGCCAGTCGCTCCCACTGCAGGCTCAGTCAGGGCAGCCCCGAAGACCTGAAACTTGCACTTCAGAGAAGGTGGAGGGGAAGCCGCAACAGTAGAAGTTCCACGGACACGCGGGACTCGGGTTCACATTTAATAACTGAGCTCCCAAGCAATTTCTTGCCCTCCCAAGGACCTGCCCCATCCAAGCCTGCGGCACAGGAGCATGGGAGAGTGAGTCCCGAGACGTCGTCCCAGCTGGAAACTCAGAACTGTAAGAACTACAAATCCCACAATGCTGCGCGCGGCCGAGGCCCCAGGGAGGGCAGTTCGGCCCGACGCCAGATGCTCTGCTCTTAAGGTCCCGCTCCACCCCCACCTCTTATCCCTCACCCCCTCCCCCACTCCACCAATCTTCAGGCTGAGGCAGCCAAGGGTCCCCAGGCAATTAATGGGAATGCGTCTGGTTTTTTTTTTTTTTCCCCTTGCCGGTTTGCTAGGGGTGTGTAGGGAGGAAATGAGGGTGAGGAGAGGCAGGGTTAGGATTTGGGGGCGGGGAGCCGGGAGCGGGGGCAATAGTTTGAATGTAGGAAGAATTCCCTGAAGTTCTCAAAGCAAGATTGCTAAAGTCAAGACTTGAGACATCTATGAGCGGAGTGCTTATTATTTGTGAAGCAACCTTTTCCCATTGTCCCATTGTATATAAGAAAATTGGGTAGGGATGTAGGTCAGCGGTAGAGCACTCTCCGAGCATGCGCAAAGCATCAGAGATGGAGCCTGGGAGAGAGAGGGGAAAGTTGTTTCGGATTAGAGATACCAAGAGTTTCAGGGGAGGCTGGGAGGAATTGGCGGCACAGTATGGCTCTGTTGTCGATACCCTGAGGCATTCTCCTACTCTTTTAACTTGAACACAGTATTCTTGGCTTCAACTCCGAAGTGAATTTCAAAGCAAAACAGTAAGAAATAGACTTGAAGTCTGTTACAAATAGAAAGAGAAGCAAAGAAAGAACAAAGCACACCCTAGAGCATGCGTGGCTGTGGACTTCTCACAGAATCGTCTCAGCATATTAAAAGCCATCTTGCAAAGATTTTAGGCAAAAGGGTTACAACAGGGAGAATAAGACACCCAAGAATGGGTCTGGGCTTCTCACAAGACATCCACAACCAAGTGTCTTAGCAATTACTATGTATACTGTTTTAGTGGCTCTCAAGATACATCTGTGCTAATCCCACTGAGAATAAGACCACTACTACACTTTAAAGCGAAGTTTGAAGGAAGCTTTAATTAAATACTGGCCAGGTGGAGGGGCTCTGCCCAAGTCCATACCCAGGTTCTCAAGAAATGGCCCAGAATCAAGTATGTCAAGGGCTTAAGAAGGAAAACCCATAATTCATTGCATTGCCCATCAGGTCCAATCAGAGACAAGCAAACATCCTGATATACCTCTAGCCTACCTGAGTACTTCCTGTGGATGGGTCAAACAAACTTGTTGGGGGGGGGTGAAAAACACGTGGCTTGTTGTTTCCTGTAAACAATAGCCTCCATCATTTCAGGAACTATCTGTTCTTGGGCAAGGGGCTTGCAGATCAGACACATTTTTGTTTCATGGATCTCTTAAACATAGTAATTAAAACTTAAAATATAACTTTGGCTCTCACAGTGTTGCTAAGAAACTTAATTTTCCCCTTTTCTCTTTTTGGTGAGACTACAAAGCATTTCCAGGGTGTCTTGGATAGGTTAAAGTCTGATAAGGTAAAACCTGGAGTCACTTGGATTTCTAGTAAGAGTCTTAGAAGACTGTAGGTTTGTAGCTAGGATGGGAGAATGACCTTAAGCAAATGTGAATTTTGTTTCAATTCTTGCTTCACAGTTGGTTAGTTTTCCATCAGACTCTGGGTCATTATGTCCTAGCTCAGATCCACTTCCTTCAACTAGGGCTTACCTCTGAAGTGTCCAGCACTGCCTAGTAGTCAAAGTAAGTAGGTTGGAACCTATGTGAGAATCACCCCCCAGAGACCCACTTCTGGTGAAAGACCCCAGGCGGGGGACTTTCACGGGAGGGAGACCCGAACCCAAGGAACACCGAGGCCACGAGCTTGGATGCAAACAGCAAGAGGCTTTATTGATAATACACGGGTACCCGGGGTGTCTCAGTCTCGGGAACTGAGAGCCCCGAGCTGGGGACTCAGGGGTTCTTTTATAGTAAAAAGCGCAGTACAGAAGCGAGAAGCCTAGTTACAGGACCCTGATTGGGTAATTTAAATGAGGCGGGGGCTCAGAACGAGGTCAATTAAGGTTTCTCCCATCTGGACAGAGAGGCAATTAAGGTTTCTCTCAGAACTCAATTCTTGGCCTTGGCCCTATCTGAAGAACAAAGGGTTTCTGTGCCTGCCCAATCTTTCTGGGCTGGCTGTGCAGACCATAGACACCTGGGCCCCTATCTGGACAGAGATAGTAGTGACTATGCAGCTGTAAAGACCTTGAGCTGAGCTTCCTTCTGATCGAAAAAATGACTATTCGGCTGATCTGTGGGGGAAAGGAATTTTCCATAGGCCTCAGCCACCTGTGCTGGGCCGGGGTCTTTCATTGGATACTGCTGTACTGGAGACTGAACCTTCAGTCCATGAGCTTTGGGTGAACCCTTAGATCCAAGTCATAGCACAAGACAAAGACCTGCAGGAGCATCAGAAAACACTACTTTGGAACCTGAGTAATGCAGTGTAACTCCAGCATCGTGGGGAGTATGGCTTTCAGATAGGGGAGCGAAAACACAGAATGGCTGGGCGTTGGTGGCATATGCCTTTAATCCCAGCACTGGGGGGGGGGGCAGAGGCAGGTGGACATCTGTGAGTTCAAGGCCAGCCTGGTTTACAGAGCGATTCCAGGACAGTCTCCAAAACAATACAGAGAGACCCTGTTTTGAAAAAAAAGAAAAAGAAAAAAAGAAAGAAAACACAGAATGGTTTCAGTATAGAGGTCCTGGAATGACCAGCTTCAGCCTCTTTGACATTCTTAGCAAGCTGGAGAGCTGGCAAGGTAATGGAAAGTTGATAGCTGGCCGCCCTACTTCCTGCCATGGTGGACAAGCAACCCTAGTCCACACCCTGCTCTCTGGCATGGTTGGCACTGGCTGGGTAAGCATCACTAGCACCTTTGGCCTGAGCAAGCAACAGCAGTGCCATAGTGCAGCCGGGGAGGGCGGGACGCGTCAGTGACAGGTCTCTGTAGGAAGCCACAGCAGGTGAGGCTGGCAAGCGGCAGATTGCACGTGGAGCTGAAAGCACCTTGTCAGCACTCAGGGTTCCTGTCAGTGTGTAGTGTGTGCTGTCCAGTAGTGGTGGCAAGCTAAAATAGGAAGAAAGAGGGAAAGTCCTGAAGTCATGCTCTGGGGACAGATGCAGGTGGAGGACACTGAAAAATGGTTTTACTACATGGCAGGGCTAGTTTGAGAAACAAGCTCTTCCCCCCAGCAAATTTTCATGAGTTGCACTTAATATTATTTGAAACTGACTGTTAGCCATAAGATTAAACACACACACACACACATACACACACACACACACACTCTTACTGCTTTATTTCCAGTGGTAAGCTGGTGTCTGATTCATTGTGAGTACTTGTTAAATACTGATTGAAAAAAATGGTAGACCATGTCATAGGAATAGTGTAGAGGTCATTGACTATTATGTCTTTATTGCTTCTGGCATAAATCTCCTGAGTAGTTTGATCTAGAACACGGAATTAGTACTAGAACGAATATCAAGAGATAAGAAGATTACTTTCCTTTGACTTTTGCCTTGATGGTCTGGAAGCCAGGAGCCTAATTTGCAACCAAACTATAACGTGAATGTAATTTTTCCTCCATGGCATGAGACACTGTGGATTGGAAGGGAATGGAGCAAAGTGAGTCAGACAGCTGTGGCTGCAGTCCAGGTAGGAAACATGGGATGCCATTAACAATGGACGTTCAAGCCAGGCGTTGGTGGTGCACACCTTTAATCCCAGCACTTGGGAGGCAGAGACAGGCGGATCACTGTGAGTTCGAGACCAGCCTGGTCTACAGAGTGAGTTCCAGGACAGGCTCCAAAACAATACAGAGAAACCCTGTCTCGAAAAACAAAACAAAACAAAAACAAACAACAACAACAACAACAAAAAATGGAAGTTCGTGTGGGGAGGGAGGGGAGGAGGGAAGGCTTTTGTCAGGTAACCAAAGATGGGAAAGAGGTTCAGCAGAGGCTGGCAAGTTAACTCGGATTGTATAGATTATGCGGTACTTGTGGGGCGTCTATGTAGAAATGCCTTCTATGTGGTTGATGATACAGAGTTAGGGTGGCTAAGGAATGTATGTGTGGGACTTCTCTCTTCATGGGTTAGAGCTGCTAGAGTTTGAATGAATAAAAGTCTTGGTGTGGCAGGATGGTAAGAGGTAAAATGAGGCCCGAGATATGTCTCTTGAACTCTGTTCAAGACTTAAGTATGAAGGAGAGCAAGAAAAGAAAGTTTTTGGTTTTTTTAGAAGGAATGAATGCTGGATGTGTTTAATCCCAGCACTCAGAAGCAGAGGCAGTGGATCTCTGAATTTGCGGTTAGTTTGGCCTAAATGTCAAGTTCCACATCAGCCAAGGCTGTGAGGTGAGACCCTTTTTAAAACAAAACAAAACAAGGACTGCGCAGTAGCAGCAGAGGGAGCTGAGTATAAAGTGAGAGTAATGTGAGGCCCATGGCATTTAGCAATGGAGTCACTTTTGGTGGATGCAGAGAGCAGCTTTGGTGAAACACAAGTGTGAGTGCGTGGGAGGGAGGTGTCAACATCATCAGGACGGTGAGCAAGAAGAGGAGCTCTGTGTTCAGGCTTTGGCGGGGCAGGGCCGTGCACGGTTCATGAAACAAAGGAGACTTGTCTTTTGAAGAGAAATATGTTTGTCTTTCAATGCTGATAGGCACAGGGAGAGGCTGAAGATGAGATGGGATAAAGGATTCAGAAAGCTCTTAAGAAGGTGGGATAAGATCAGAGATGAACTTAGACCACATAGTTAGGATCAGATGGAGAGACTACGTGTTCTCTATACAGATGAGAGAAAGTATAGGCACCACAAAGTACATTGATAACAGGAATCTAAGGAGGTTTTCTTCTTCGATTGCTTCTTTTCCCTGTAAAACTGCAGTGTGTTGGTGGGTGTAATTGGTACTATTAATGATTTGAAGTGTGTAGGACTTG